TATTCTTGGTATTATGGAGAGACAGTGTCACCTTCGTTTGTTATTCCAATGCTACCAGTATGCCTATTGAGTGTACGGACAACGTAATAAGCACTTCATTGTTATTCCCTCACGACATCCATCTTTTATTCTACGAATGGTAGCTGGTCATCAGGAGGTACTTGAAGAATCTTGGGTTAGATTATTGGTGGGTCATTATTAGACCAATTTAATACCTATTATACATACGGGCCACAGCGCGCTACATCCAGGGGTGAGTGGTACTGACTCGACTTGTCCACCTCCTCGAACATGGTCGCTAGCATATCCTTGCCCGAGCTGCCTGTGGGGATTCTTTCCGTCATTTTCAAGTACATGGATGCACTTTCACTCAAGGTAATCTGTCTAATATCGCACCACTTCAACGATGTTGGCACGCCTATCCTATATCGGTCAATGGTATGGGAGGTCTTCTCTCCATCTTCTATTGTAGGTATATGCATAAATATGCGTCATAATCTCAATCAAATATTTTATAGGGGCGCTTAGAAGCGTTTAAACGCCGTCCTCAGCTGCGTCAGGTTGTTCGGGAAATTCAGTTCAAGAAAGGCATGTGTACGTAGCATTATATTCTCTGTATTTCCTGTCTCTAACCTGTAGTATCTTGTAGGGGGGAAATGGGGAAGTCTACCCAGTAAGGCTCGTGAGCTAGCCGTTGAGCAATGTGCACAAGAACTGAGTCTTTTACCATATGTCCATACATTGGTCTTGTATGGAAGCACTCCGCTTTGGACTTCAAATGGGTTTGATCTATATCGAAAGATTCTCGAAAAAATCCCTGGTCTAAAGGAAGTCTATCTAGACTGGCAACACGGGAATTATCTAGAGTCTCGAACCTTTCAAGCCCTTCCGTTAGGGCTGACCAAAATATCCTCACTCCAACACGCAACATCCTCAAAAATGGAGAAATGGTTACAATCAAACATGGCAACCTTGGAAAGCCTTGATCTACATGTCGGTGAACTATTTTGAGAAAAGGTCTCCAATGCTAATCTTCTAATAAGGCTGCATATGCGAGTTTTAGTTTCTTATCAGTGTTTCAAGGATTAAAGACGCTCCAAGCCGGTTGTATACAGTCCTGGAAAACATTTATAGAGGCTATTGGAGGCCTGAGAAGTCTCGAAAGGCTCAAGTTCGCCGTAGAGAAGTACGTAAGCATTGAAATGCCCGTCAACTACACACAAAGATTTATTATAGTATATAGGGACTAGAAGAGACCCACCTCCTACCAAGCAATGTCTCATTACCGAGGTTGCGAGATGAAAATTTATATATGGTTATGAGTCACCTCCACCAATCCACTCGATTTACCATGCGTACGAGACACTGGCCTCGTCCTCCACATTATTGGAGATACTGCGAATCAAAACGTACTACAAACGTCGCCTGAAACAATACCAGGGTGAAAGGCTCGCCAGATGGATAGCTCAGAAACACGGCCCTACAATACGCTCGATCATTCTGGACGAGATGACTCTTTCTTCTAACAAAATTCTTTACCTATGTTCAACATGTCCAAATCTATGTGCCTTAGGATTCAGTCTTCCAAAGAACTTAAATGTCGTGAGTATTTGATTCGGGCCTTTGGCAACGCATCCTCTAAAGATATAACTACAGATAGCCTTATCCACTGCTTTATCATTCGTCAAGACTCTGTCATACCTTCGACTAACAATCTTTCTTCCACACTTGGGTCCAAATTCGCAGGAACTTGAACATCTCCTGGTCCAGAATCTCTCCAAATTGCTATTTCTACATTTTCGACGGGATAGCCCAAATCACAATATATCTAACATAAATTACATTCTGTGGAAGGTAGGAAATTCCACATTGACTCTCGAAAGATATACTGACGACGCAGCAGAGACACTGGTCATACGATCAAAGCTCAGGATTACCAAAATGTTCGCTAGAGACGAGTACAAGTAATAATGAATTGGTTTGGGATGAGTTATGGCCAGAAAACTGATCCTCAAAATATGGCCGAAACTACAGAATCGGAGAAATCGAAGTAATCATCGTGTCATGGTATTATGACTCTTCAATAACTTAAGAGTGGCTCGATAGCATAATGAATATTTATTTGTGATGAAGTATGCCAACGGACAGACTTAAATGCTATGTTATGTTATACTTTTGCGACGCGATAATTAAGCGAGCAGACTAATTCTGTAAAAGAGGTGGGAAGGTATCCAGGTTGTAAGGGGTGTGTACGTACTAGTGTTGGCTTCTCGGTGGAGGTAGATAGCCCATGTATGTCAACCAGTCCACTGCTTGAACTGCAGCAAGCTCTTTGGCGTTATCCCGCCTCGAGGACTCTGCTGTCCCAATCACTATAGGGTCCTCATCTCTTCTCCTTCGATATCTCCATTCACCACACCAGACTAGGCTGGTTAGCACTACCCATTACGTGGACAGAGAATAAATTGAATGGCTTACCATGCGCGTGCGATGGCCCATGAGAAATATCAACGTATTGGATATCTAAGTTGTTTCCCTGCTTGATGAGGTTGAGAATAGAGCGGTAAGATGAGTAGTCCGCTTGGCCCATTACTGGGGGGGAAACTCCAATGTTACTCATGACGCTGAGGTTAATAGAAGAAAGGGAGATGATTTCGTGTCACGCATCATCTTCCATTTATTAACCTCTTTTATAACTTCGCCACAAGAATAGAACCAGCCTAAAGGCGAAGATGGTAAGTAGGACGTCAGAAAGCAGACGGCCGGAAAGCGAGGCGGCACAGCGAAAACCAGTCATGGTGCCTAGATTATTATTAATTTCTTGCGAGTGCGCCTGGTGATTGTATAATTGCCACAAAGATTGTGACTTGAAACGCAGCCAAGTCACTAGCAACCTGTCCGGTGCGTATGAACCAGCGATGCGATTGTATAGGCGACCAAATAATATCGGAGTCGGGTGGAGATCCTCAGAAAGGAAGTGGCCTTGGTTGAGGACGCCCTGCGCTGGTTGGAAGAGGGACCGCAATGGTCGGCGGGCTACCTC